ACACACACACACACACACACACACACACACACACACACACACACACACACACACACAAAACACCTTACATTCTGGTGTAGATTCTCAGGACATGGTGAATACAAACAAAACAAACAAAAAATAAAGAAATAAGCTGGTGTTCTATTCCATACTTCATTGGTTGTATTGGATATTAGACCAAAGAGGTTATTTACTGAGAACTGAAATTTTACAAAGCTAGTATTATGCACAAAGAAACTAATGGCAACAAAGTACCATTTGCTGTGATGACTGAGAGATTTCTCCCTGTTATAAACCTTAGTGCTCCAAAGGAAACATCCAACGTATATTCAGAGCTAACAAAGGCATCTACAAGGAATTACCTTGAAAAATAGTAGAAAACCTCTAATGTACAAATGAAATAAAAAAGAAAAAAAGTCATCAAAAGGCATAAAGAATCACTGAGTGTAGAATGTTTGTTTTCATGAACAATCACATGATATAATAGAAAGGCACATAAGTTAAAACAAACACCCAAGTACTGACTGTTGACGAATGGAGATCTGGGGTCTCATTTATGAAGGATTGCGTGGAAACCATACTAAAAGTGAACGTACGGCCAAAAGGCAGAAATGGCGTACGCCTAAAAAAAATCATATTTATAAAACCATACATACGCACGTTTCTGCGCATCTTTCCTTAATAAATCACAGCTGCACGTCAGAGTTTGCGCACAAGGTCCCACCTCAGGTTCTACCCTCTACACGCCCACACTCAACCATAAACAGACAATGTAAAGTACCTCATGAATGTTAAGATGTATTTAAATCAGTCAGATGATCAGTGATTGGTTCAGACACGTTCCGTCGTGTGTCTGGAGGTTGATAGGTGCTGACTGACAGCTGCTCACGTGAACAGAATGTCTGTACCTGACACAGATTTTCCCTCATTTTGACTTTGAGTAATCTAAACATTTGTATAAAAAATACTCAGCTTAAAATTAATTTTCTCTCAGGGCCTGCAGGACGATAAAAACAATAAAAATTAAATTAAATGTCAGATAAAATTAGAAGTAAGTCCACCGCTCTTCTCCTCGTCCTCTCCCCCTCCATCCTGGTCTGTTATCCGTGGCAGACACCCCCGCCCCGCGCGCGCACGCACGCACGCATCCCCCCGCACGCGCGTGACAAACACGGACTTTAAACATGAAGTTTTATTACATTCACACTGGCTAGGTGGGCGCGCCCTGCGCGTGTATCTAAAGTGTGACTTTTGCTGTCCTGCTGTTCTTGTCGTGGAGGGGTCTGTGGGTCATGGAGGGGTCTGTGGGTCAGGGTCGTCTGAGGAGGAAGCAGATGAAGGGAGTTGCGCACGGGAACTTTTATTTAAGATTTAAGTTTTTTATTTCAAAGGTCCTCATGGCTCAGCAGCAGCAGCAGCAGCAGCAGCAGCAGCAGCAGCAGCAGCAGCAGAAGCAGCAGCAATATTACTGTTAAGAAAGCTGATGAT